GGGCTGGAATACTGTTGGCTGGGGGGATTTTCTGACTTTAGCTCCTCTGGACAAAGATGCTCAATTCATAAACACACACACACACACACACACACGCACGCACCCCTCCCCTCCATTCCAGACATGGTCCAGAGCTGTCCACGCAGAGTCTGATGACGCAAAGCTCAGGAGATGTTTTCTATTAAAACAGCGAATGAAAGAAAGAATGGAAAAAATAGGGTAATTACACGTACGAATGCATTCACCTTGAAATCATCATCCATTTGTGGTGGGGTGATTGATTGCCAGTGAGGTAGGCATCTTGGGGCCCCATCTTTTAACGTGTAATAGGGAAAACATGCCATTACTTGCCAGATCCTATTGAGAGCAACTGTGGTCAGAACCCTCCAGAAAGAGGAAGAGGAGATGCAGGGTCCTTGGTGCAGTAACATGCTTCTTAGGTACTAAGAGAAAAGAAAGAAGCAGCTGAGGAAATGGTACGGTTTCTAGGCCCTTACTGACGTGGTGACTGTTCTCTGGCTACTTACCTTGTCTCTTTCTGTTTCAATCACCTCTTAAAGGCCCCACCTCTCAACACTGCCACACTGGAGATCGAGGCCAGCACGTGAAATGTGGGGGACACATCCATACAATCAGGACACAGTGTTCATTTCAGCGACAAGTATGCAAAATAAACATAGTAATTTCAGTTTTTGTTTGAAAGATAAAGAATGATCTCTTTTTCTTCCTTTTGCTTTCGCAGAGGAAGGCATTGCAACAAAAAAGAAGCCTTAAAAGAAAATCCATGGCTGGGTGTAGTAGCTCACGCCTGTAATCCTGCTGTAAAGCAGATCACGAGATCAGGAGATCAAGACCATCCTGGCCAACATGGTGAAACCCCGTCTCTACTAAAAATACAAAAATTAGCTGGTTGTGGTGGCACGTGCCTGTAGTCCTAGCTGCTTGAGAGGCTAAGGCAGAAGAAGTGCTTGAACCCGGGAGGCGGAGGCTGCAGTGAGCTGAGATCGCGCCACTGCACTCCAGCCTGGGCGACAGAGCGAGACTCTGTCTCAAGAAAAAAAAAAAAAAAAATCCATTACAAAGGGAGGAATAAAACTAAAGTGTCACCTACACTTAAAGCAGTGAGAAAACTGCTGCATGAAACAAGACAAAACAACAAAAAACCTTAACAAAATTAGAGTAAAATCTTCAAGATGCAAGATGCTTTCATGTCCTGGGCCATGGGGTCTTCCCACATGGCCTTAAGTACTTTTGGAAGAGTGATCTCTAAAAACTGAATAAAAACAAGAAGAAGTGGTCATTAGGAAACAAAGGCAGCAGTGCAGTTTCTCAGTAGGGGGCACCTTGGAAACCCACGGGGAGTGTGTGCTTGTCACAGGGATTGGGGCCACTGTTGGCATTGAGATGCTGTAGGTGGCAGGCACAAGAAGTCCTGAAAAGTGTGAGGAGTTCCAGGGATCAGCAAATTTCTTCTTCTTCTTCTTCTTTTTATTTTCTTTTTTTAAAATTTGAGACAGGGTCTCACTCTTTTGCCCAGGCCAGAGTGCAGTGGTGCAAACACAGCTCACTGTAGCCTCAACTGCCAGGGCTCCAGTGATCCTCCCGAGTAGCTGGGACCACAGACGCCTGGCTACTTTCAAAAATTTTTTGTAGTGACAAGGTTTTGTCATGTTGCCCAGGCTGGCCTCAAACTCCTGGGCTCAAGTGATCCTCCCACCTCGGTCTCCCAAAGTGCTGGGATTCCAGGCGTGAGCCCCCAGACAGTAAATATTTTATGCTTGTGGACGGTATTGTAAGTTCTCTGTCACAACCATCTTAATGTTGTCACTGTGGCGTAGGACAGCCCTAAGAAACACACCAACAAAACTTCATTTACCAAAACGGGCAGCCTATCAATGAGTCGTATTTGCAGACCCCTGAGTTCGGGCATTCTGTGATGCTCTGAGTCGGCTCCGCTTCAGCGTGGTAAGAGGCACGCGACAAAAACTGGCACGAAAGGAGCTGTTGGAACCAAGGGGCAGGAAACGACTGCCCTAGAGGATCAGCTAGAAGATGGACGGGCATTCTGGGAAGAGAGCAGACAAATTCTGGAGGAAATAAAGGATTTTCGTTTTAAGGGGATGAGAGGCAAGGGAAGAAGCTGAGAGGGTCTGTGGGTCTGAAATGTGGTCTCTAGGTGGGAAAATGTGTGAGATAAAATGCAAGACTGAAAGCAGGAGGCGAGGGTCCGCTGCACCAATGTGCACAGTTGCACAGGCCGCGGGGGCATCTGTGGCTGTGGGTGGAGAGAAAATGCTGGCGCACACATCTGAGAGGGGAGGTATGGGTGGGAGTGGGAGGGTATGTAAGACAGCGTGGGTGGCAGGTGAGGTGCTCATATGTGCAACTGTGCGTTCTGCGAGTGAGAAGGTCTCGGACAGAGGAACTGCGTTCAGTGCTCAGGGGCGAGAGTCCCCACGCAAGAGCCTGGGGTGCCAACCAGAAACACCCACACCCAGGCAGGGCCCTGCGACCTCTGGCGCCATCTGCTGGTTGACAGACGCCACTACCTGAGAAAGGTCCCTTCAGTCCCCTCATTGATCAGCTGTAGACCCTAAACGGAGCCACTACCCAGGAGCCCCTCCCGCCAACCCACGTCAGCAGAAAAGCCCTGTGGGCGGGCGTGTATCCACTTCTGCTCCTCTGGACAAAGATGCCCAGGTCGGAAACACACACCTGACCCTCCCACCATTCAGATACAGCCCCACCTGCACAGCTCAGAGCACCACCATTGACCCTCTCTGCGGCCCTCGGGACATAGTTGCTATTGAAAAGAACAAAATAAAGTATATTTATCAGGATTAAATAAGCAAGTAATTAATGAAGGAATTCATTCATTTAACATTCAGTTATGGAGGGCTCACTGCAAACCAGGTTCTCAGTATTTTGAGGGCCTAGGAGGAGGAAACTCTCTTTAAATGTCAGCTTTTACTGAGAAATATTGCGGATAGAATATGTTGGAAAAAAAAGAAATGTAGAGATTCTGGGTTTGGTGTTACTGTGTTTATCTGATACTGTAAAGAAAGAAAGATGCAGAAGAAATAGAGTTTTATTTCAGACCCTACGCATGTGGTGTGCTGCTGTTCTAGGTGGTTTACTTAGATTGTCTCCATTTTGATGAATGAGGAAATTGAGGAGAGAACTAACACCCTCTGTTTTTTTTTGTTGTTGTTTGTTTTTTGTTTTTGTTTTTTGGATGGAGTCTCGCTCTATCGCCCAGGCTGGAGTGCAGTGGCACAATGTTGGCTCACTGCAGTCCCCACCTCCCAGGTTCAAGCAATTCTCCTGTCTCAGCCTCCTAAGTAGTTGGGACTACAGGTGTGCGCCGCCATGCCCGGCTAATTTTTTGGTTTTTTTAGTAGAGATGCCTGTAATCCCAGCTTCTTGGGAGGCTGAGGCATGAGAATTGCTTGAACTGGGAGACAGAGGTTACAGTGAGCTGAGATGGTGCCACTGCACTCCAGCATCTGGGTGATACAGCGAGACTTTGTTTTAAAAAAAAAAAAGTTATTTAAAAGTTGAAAATGAAGCTGTGCTTCTAAAAATTAAGTGGGCATTAATCACTTAAATTAAAATTAACCTAGTAGCCTCTTCCATGATATCTGTAGATTCATTATTCCTTTTGCTCAAGATCTCAGTCTCTCCGAGTCATCTGATCCCCGAGGAATCATATTTAAAGAGGACCAGAACTAGGCCTCCCTTTAAAAAAGTATGTAGAAAGAGAAAAGTTATTTAATCCATGATAAAATGTGAGATGGGAAAAATAGCAAGATGACATTAGAACAATTTGAATTTTGAAAGAAAACTACAAATATCTCAGTAGGGGATTTTTATACATAGAAGGGGATTAAAAGGAAAAGACTCAAGGCTGGTTCAAGGGAAAGAAAGGTACCATTTACTTCAATGTGAATGATTCTACTTGAAAACATAAGCAGCAGAGAAAACGTTCCCTGTTCTTCGACTCTGGCTTGTATCCTAACACTATGAAGTGCCTAATACCCAGATTTCAATGGTAATTTTTCACAATTTAAATTATTCCTGTGATTTATCAAAAATTTTTAGAATAAAATTTGAACAAATGGAAGTAAATAAAAACTCCCTAAAATAGTCTGATGTATATGAATTTATAGAACTTTGTAAAATTGCAAATGCAATCACACTGATAATCTATTTTAGGATTCTAAGCAAAGCTTGATGTGTATAATATATATCGGCAAAACCATTGCTACTAACAAACGCTGGAAAAATCCCTAAAATAGGCTTGTGATATTAGTAGGTTGGGTCTAACCTAAGTGACGGCAATTTAATCTTATCTTCTTTTTCAAGGTAAATATTATCAGGATGAAGGGTTTTACTAAGAATATTGTGGACTGCAGATTTATCACCAATAAAAACCTCATTCCCTGCTATAATTAAATTAACACCTGATTAGGTTAAAGGGGGTGGCAGGGTGTGACCATGGAGGATTAGAGGGAGTGTCAGGGTGTCATCATGGAGGGTGGGGCAATCTTGCCAATAAAAGGCCCTCCTATGCCGCTTCCCCACCATACCTGAGCTCCTGGTGGAAGACGATGGAGTACAAAGGAGCTTTCAGCAGAAGAGGTGAGTCCACACCTGTGTGCTTTGTTTTTCCTTCTCAGATGTCTAGAATTGGGGTTATAACATAGGGGGATGAATGAAAGAAGTTAGTAATTAATGCATTCAACAAAGGCTGTCTGAGTGCTGCCTCGGAGTTGAAATCAGTCACCCTGGATCCCCTCACTCTAGAAGTGGTGGCAGTCAGTTTGGTATTCAGTCCCAAGGCTGCAGGAAGGATGCAGTTCTTATTCTCATTAATGAATCTCTTGCTTGGGCTCCCCTCGGAGGAGACGAAATGACCCAAGCTCGCTGCTCCTCACATGGGTGCTGCTGGCACAGCCTCAACTGCTGCAGGCTCATCTGCTGGCACAGCTGCTGGGTCACCAGGAGAATGGACTCTTCCTCCACCTCAGCTCAGAGCACAGGGACGATTTGGGACATGTCTTTCCCAATAGAACTTCAAATCTCTGAAGACAAGGGCATGTGCTGGAGTGTTGGTACTCACGGCCTTGATCTAGGGACTACAAAGCTGGAACACAGTAACTCTATGCATGGAAAGTTGTCACTTGTTACACACTAAGAGGCTGTCAGTTCATGAAAATTCACTTCCATGTGTATTTTTGTTTTCCCTGACAGTGACCACGGATGAACTCTTAAAAGAAGCAACCAGATGTCCCATCTGCACAGCTTACTTAGAAAAGCCAATGTCCTTGGAGTGTGAATGCGTCTTCTGCCTCAGCTGCACCAATTCACTGCAGAAAGAGCCCCAAGGGGAAGGTGTCTTGTGTCCCTTCTGCCTGGTGGCTTCTCAGAAAAACAACATCAGGCTCAATCGGCAGCTGGGGAGTCTGGTTTCCCACATTAAGGAACTGGAGCCCAAGCTGAAAAAGATTCTGAAGATGAACCCAAGAATGCGGAAGTGCCAAGGTAAGGAGTCTGTATACCCTGCCCCTTCCCACTACCAAAAGAGGAAAAAGTACTGTTGCAATTGGCTCTCCGTACCGTATGGAATTAGCTGATGTCTGGCACCTGAAACTGAAATGTTCCTCTGGCATCAGTGATTCTTAGCCCTGACAACACGTAGAAACACCTGGTTTTATTTTTTGCTCTCCAACAAAAAATACCCGTGTCTATGTCATGGCTTAGACAAGGGATTCTCAAAACTTAAAAGAAATGTGTACACATTTATGAGATACACGTGCAATTTGGTTACATTTCCACTGATACTGTAAGAGATCCCTTTTCTTCACATCCTCACTGGCATTTGTTTTATTTTGTGCTTTTGATAATAGCCACTTTAACCAGGTGAAATGATATCTTATTGTGGTTTTTATTTGCATTTATCTGAGTGTTGTTGAGAATTTTTTAATACTCCTATTGGACATTCATATGCCTTCTCTCAAGAGATGTCTTGAAATTCTTTGCCCGCTTTTTTTTTGTTTTTGTTTTTGTTTTTGAGACGGAGTCTCGCTCTGTCGCCCAGGCTGGAGTGCAGGGGCCGGATCTCAGCTCACTGCAAGCTCCGCCTTCCGGGTTTACGCCATTCTCCTGCCTCAGCCTCCGGAGTAGCTGGGACTACAGGCGCCCGCCACCTCGCCCGGCTAGTTTTTTGTATTTTGTAGTAGAGACCGGGTTTCACCGTGTTAGCCAGGCTGGTCTGGATCTCCTGACCTCGTGATCCGCCCGTCTCGGCCTCCCAAAGTGCTGGGATTACAGGCTTGAGCCACCGCGCCCGGCCCTCTTTGCCCGCTTTTTTATGAGAATGTTTGATTTTCTGCTGCTGTTTGAGTCTGTTGTATATTATTCATATTAATTTTGTCAGATGAATAGTTTACAAATCTTTTGTCTCATTCTACAGGTCTTTTGAAATAACCCCATTTGACCAAAAAAAAAAAAAAAAAAAAAAAAAAAAAAAAAAAGAATATTTTAAAAAACCCAGAAAGCCTATGTGACTACATATTCAAATTTTGGGAGTTCCAGGGACAGGCAAAGGCATAGAAACCTATTTAACAAAATAATAGCTGATACCTTATTTTAATGTACAAAATCTACATTGGTGGTCACATCTGTCTTTAGGCTTGAAGGATAACAGGTTCTGTAGATTTACTTTTTCCAGAATGGTCTAGACAATAAATTTTCCTAGACCAGATCCCACCCCTTCCTTTCTTCCTCTTCCATTAAAGTTGGTGACTTCACTTTTCAACTACATACGCAATGCTGTAAAGTGCTCATTCTAATAACTTTTAAATACCTTTATCTCATCTCTTAAATTTAAGCCCATTAACACTGTCTTGCTTAAGGCCCCAACTCCCCCATAGGATGAAAAGCATCCTTGCGTCTAGGTCCTTATCTTCCTCTTGGCCTTAGATTCTCCTAACATCCAGGCATGGGACCTCTGTCATCCATTATCAGCTGCAGAGATATCCCATCTCCTGTCAAAACCGTGAACAAAAGTCACTGGTTACAAATATGGAGAACAAAAGCCTGGATTCATGCCCTAGACACTATTTAAATTGGACTAATAAAATGTGAAAAAAGAAACATATCATTTAATATAGCAAACTTGCATTGTCTTTATTATCACTCATTTTTCACTCATCAGTATAGTAGAAAGAGGGTTGTGGTGTCTGTCTTGAGGTCTCCAAGCAGAAGAAATACATGACATAAACACACACACAGCGTAATGTAGAATAAGAACTTCTACTATAAGTAAGAGCCAGGTATTACAACGAGTATATCTGTGAGAATTTCAACTACTCAGGGAAGTTGCCTCGAGAAAAGTTCTGACTTCAGGAAAAAAAGCAGAATGGCAGAAGCCAAAGTCGATGAGATATTTGGGACTTGGCAGTAGAGGAGTGAAATGGGCTTGGCTTCTGTGCATTTGCTCAGCTGCTTGTTTTTCTTTTCACAGTGGAGGTGACCTTGGATGTTGACACAGCTCACAACCTCCTCCTCATTTCTGAAGACCTCAGGAGCGTCCGATGTGGGAGGATCCATCAGAATCGGCCAAACAGTGCTGAGAGATTCAACTTGGCAGGTGCTGTCCTGGGCTCCCCTGGTTTCACCTCTGGCCGCCACTACTGGGAGGTGGACCTAGGAACAAGCACAGAATGGAATCTGGGAGTCTGCAGAGAATCTGCCAGCCGCAAAGGGAACATCCAAATGACCACAGAGCATGGATTCTGGATTGTGAGTTTGAGGGCTGAGGGCTTCCACTTTGCTAACACAAGCCCTCCAACACCCCTCTGGGTGAACCCCAATTTACAGCGAATGGGGATTTTTATGGATAGAGGCATGGGAGACATCTCCTTTTACCACCTTGGAGATGGATCCCACATCTATACATTCACGAAAGTTTTTCCTGAGGAGCCACTGCGCCCATATTTTGCTCCTTCCACCCTCCCAGATCAGGGTGTCCTGAGTGTCTGTCCTGTGATAAACCCAGGCACTGCCCATCCTCTAGTCCATCCTGGGGAGGGCAAATAAACCCCCACTGCATAGAAACAGGTTCGGGAAATTAAATTATTTGGTGGGTAGACCTAGGAAGTTTCTGTTGGGTATATATATTTTACAAAATCATGGCACAAAAATATAGACCATTCCATGATGTAGTTAACTTCATAGATTCATTAGGATAAAAGCTGAGTTTTAAATATTGATTATTGTCACCATCAAACGTGTGAGTTTTGTGTTTATATTTTGTTTCCTAATGATATGTATTGTATTCTTAAATTCCAAATGCTTTACCTTTTATTTCTGTAAGTTCAGCTTGATGTATTACGGAGTTTATAAGTTAAATAAATATTTGGCTGTAACCAAATGGATTATGTGAGTTTCTAAATAATAAGGGTGCAATACTTTTTATTCCTAGAGCAATGTGTGTGGGGGTGGGGTGGGGGGGGTGGGTAGGGGTGTGTGTGTGTGTGTGTGTGTATTTGAACAAGACAAATGTGGATAAATACCTGTGTCCTATCCAGCACTGAATGACTTTCCACCGCCACAGCTCCGTGGAGCTAACATTGTCTTGGACGTGAGCTTGTCTACATTAACAATGGTGAATTCCCCCACTGTAGAATGTACTGTTTTGTCTCCAGTGCACTCCTGGTAATACCTGACTCTCTCAGCCGATCCTTCCTCCTTCCATTTCCCCTGTGGGGTCCTCCGTGCTGTGCTCCTCTGGCTGGCACAGCTCTGGTCACTGTGGAGATGCGTGCTGGGGGCCAGGCAGTCATGCTCTTATCACAAGTCAGTTCCCTGCAGGAGGGATCTACTGAAACTAGTGCTGGTTTTTTCAAGTGTTCTTTGCATATTAAATCATTGGCAACTTTTACATACTTTTAAATTTTTTTTTAAGAGCCTTATTCTGTCACCCAGGCTGGAGTGCAGTGGTGTGATCTCAGCTAACTGCAGCCTTGACCTCCCCAGGTGCAGGCGATCCTCCTACCTCAGCCTCCCTGTAGCCCCAGCTGGCACTACAGGTGTGCACCACCATGCCCGGCTAATTTCTCCTCCCCCTTTTTTTTTTTTTAAATAGAAACGGGGTTTCACCGTGTTCCCCACACTGGTCTCAAACTCCTGGGTTCAAGCAATCTGCCCACCTTGGCCTCCCCAAATGTTGGGATTACAGATGTGAGCCACTGCTCCCGGCCTTGTATCCCATTTTTAAGAATCGTTGAAGACGGTCAAGGGTCTGGCTTGTCAGCATTGTGAGCTGATTCAGAAAAGGCCCTGCCTCCCCGCCACGTGAATGTGCTGGGGATATATGCAATATACCTTGATTGAAAAGTACACTTGCAGCAAAGTCAGGAAGATTCCAGGATACATATACCTATCCTGACCGGCATAGGTAAGTTTCCCAGACTCTGAATTCATGTGGTTTCAGAGAAACTAGTAGAGGAAAAGGTAGGAGCAGGAGGAAAAGGAAGAAGCCAAGAAAAAGTGAAATTTTAGGTAAAAACCCAAGTTTTTAAAATAAAATAAATAAATAAATTAATTAATTAATTAATTAATTAATTTTTAGAGACAGGGTCTCACTATGTTGCCCAGGCTGGGCTGGAACTCCTAGTGTCAAGCTATTCTCCCACCTCAGCCTCCCCAGTAGTTGGGGTTAAAAGTGCCAGCTACCACATCCTGCCTCAAATATTCTTTAATTTCTTTTGAGACTTCTTTGACCCATGTGTCACTAAATCTCTAAACATTTTCAGAGAAGAGTGTCGAAATTTTCTGTCTTTCTGCTATAGACGGCTATTCTGATCTATTGTGATCTGAAAGCATCCTTTGTATGATTTATATTCTTTTCTTGTGTTTTATGGCCCAGAATATGGTCTATATTGAATATTCCTTGAGGGCAGACCAGGCACCGGGCCTCAATCTCGGGTGCCATCTGCTGGTTGTTAGAAAAAACTGCCCGAGAAAGGCTCCCTCAAATCCCCTCATTGCTGGGTTCCCCCACATGGTAAACTGAATGAACACCAAGGAGCTCCTCTTGCTCCATGCACTCCAGCAGAAAAGCCCTGCGGGTGGGCATTTGTCAGCTTCTCCTCTGGACAAAGATGCCCAGGTCAGAAACACATCCCTGAGACCCTCCCAGCATCTAGATAGCAGCCCAGGCTGTGACATCTCACCCTCAGGCCAGATCCAAGCAGTGAAATATATAATCTAATCTCTTCCCCAACCCACCCCCTTGAGTCCCGATTTTCCTTCTCCCATTCTCAACTCTTCCACCCCTGAATGATCTAAAACCATAAGGAAATCTTTTTTGAATATATATATATATAAAAAAATAAAGAGGGCCATCTCATTTCATGTAGGTTGTAATATAAGGAAAATAGTAAGATTGTAAAAATATATTTTACTTTTGATATGGTTATTAACAAAGAGAAATGAAAAAGTAACGCCAGGAACTTGAATAGCCCACTGATTATCTGGGAACATTATTTCTGTTTGTTTTTAAATCAAACTTCTAAACACAGATCTTAATCCCAGCACTTTGGGAGGCCAAGGCGGGTGGATCACAAGGTCAGGAGTTCAAGACCAGCCTGGCCAACATGGTGAAACCCCGTCTCTACTAAAAATACAAAAATTAGCCAGGTGTGGTGCCGGGTGCCTGTAGTCCCAGCTACTTAGGAGGCTGAGGGAGGAGAATCGCTTGAACCTGGGAGGTGGAGGTTTCAGTGAGCCAAGATCGCGCCATTGCACTCCAGCCTGGGTGACAGAGTGAGACTCCGTCTCAAAAAAAAAAAAAAAAAAAAAAAAAAAAGCATGAAGAAAAAGCCCATTTGAAGAAATCATTATGGTCTAATGAGGGTGATTTTAGGAAAGACTTATGATTAGGTTGAATTAATTTCCTTGATCTAAAATAAATATGAAGGCTGGGCATGGTGGCTCATGCCTGTAATCCCAGTACTTTGGGAGGTCCAGGTGAGAGGATCACTTGAGGTCAGGAGTTGGAGACCAGCTTGGGCAGTATAGTGAGACCTCTGTCTCTAATTAACTAATTAATTAATTAATTAATTAATTATGAGGTGGTTTTACTTTGTGAGTAAAAAGTACTGAAAACTAGCTCCATTCATTGCATAAGGACTAATAGTGGTGCCAAATATTTGGCTTTGAAAGTTTTCTGGTCGAATTCTAAATTTTGTCATATGCAAACATGATATTCAAAAGCTAATCCAGAAGAAGGGGTATGTCTATATTAATCAAAATACAACCACTTGCAGGATAAATTGCTGTCCTTTGCACGTGGTGCTTCTCTATATCTCCATATCTTCAGTAAAAAACTCATTGATTCCAGATTTAAATCAATATCTGACTGAGTGGGTAAAGTGGGAGAGAGGACTTTCTATGTAAAAGCCCCGTATAGGTGGGTCCCATTCCATATCTCAGCTCCCTTCAGAAGCAGCTGGAGCAAGAGAAGCATCTTGTGGAAGTGAGTTCAATGTTATTCCTTTCTCACTTCTCAGCTTTCTACAAAAGGCAAATATAAGACAGCAACATCCAGGGAATGAAGTAATTAATGCTGCAAGTATGGTCTGAGGCCAACTCCATGCCAGCACAGTGGGAACACTTAGGGACACGGGATCCCCTGCCCAGTAGCTGAAGGCAGGACTAGATTCTCAATACACAGGCTGGGGTGTCTGACAGATTATTTCAATCAAATCATAGCTTGGGCTACTCTAGGAGATGATAACTTGAGCTTCCCTCATTGACTTAACCCTTCAGCTGCTGCTGTGGGTCTGTGCCCAGCCTGGTGGGATCAGATGAAGAGTTGGAGGGGCTCTGAGTCTAGGCTAGGGATGTCTCAGACAAAATAATGTAATTCATATATGTAGCTATGTATTTCCTGATAGCCAAGTTAAAAAATGTAACAAGAAACAAGATAAATTAATTTTAATATCCAAAGGATTATCATTTTAACATGTAAATCAATTTTCACCTTATTAATGAGACATTTTTCTGATCATGTCTTCAAAATCTGGGGCATATTTCACACTCAAAGCATGTCTCACTGTAGATAAGCCTCATTGCAGGTGACAAGAGCCACATGTGGTTGTCAGCTCCTGTATTAGTCCAGTTCCATTCCCTTTCACAATCTCAACTCCAAGCCAAGTGACAGATCACACCCTTTATTTCAACTAGAATTTCAAATTCAGAAGACCAGGGCCATTCACATATATTCGTATACATACGAGAGAGAGAGTCCTTAGCCCTTGCCTTGTGCTAGGGATGGTATATAATATCTCTATGAATGCGAAGATGAAATAGCCCCAGTTCTTTCATCTCCTGGATCTCCATTACTATTATGTATGTTTCACTCCGGCAGCAGCAGCAAAGGCTGCACACTTTCAAGAAGCAAGCAGATGTCCTATCCGTCTTGTAATGTGGCTACATCTTCTGCCTCCATTGCTTCAACTTACTGAAGACAGAATCTCAAAAGGAGAGTTTATTGTGCACTTTCTGCTAGTTTCTCAGAAGAATTAGATCAAGACAAATCAACACCTGGCGAAGCTGATTTCCAAGATCAAGGAACTGGAACCCAGCTGAAAGCTATTCTATGCCTGACCTCAAGGATGCCGAAGTTCCAAGGTTAGGTAACTGGAGCCCGCCCCACGAAGGCCCCAGAAAAGCCAACAGTGAAAAATGCTCTCCATTAAATATAGGAGTCAGCTGAATTTTGGCACCTAATGTTCTTACGCTCTTTAAGCAACACTAGTTCTCTTTCCTGAGTAAGGATTAGAACCACCTGGATTTTTCGAAGAAAGTTTAATGTTTAAGTGATGCCCTGTACCTGTGCTGTCCAACATGATAGCCACTGTAACCACTAACAACTTGAAATGTGGCTAGAGCCACATATGGAAAGAGAATATTTTTGATCAAGTTAAATACAAAAATTATTAAAATTATTCACCTGTTTCTTTTTATGTTTGATAATGTGGCTACTAGAAACTTTAATATTATACACGTGGTTGGCATTATGTTTCTATTGGGAACACTATGCTGGATCATGGCTTTTCAAACTTTTATGCATCAGATTCCTGGGGGACTTGTTAAAATGCTAATTCTGATTCTGCAGCTCTAGGCTGGCCCGCAAATCTACATTTCTCTCCCAGGTGCCCAGATGATGCTGTTGCAGCTGGTTCCCAGCCACACACTGAATAGCAAGGGCCTGGTATCAGCTGCATCTGAGCTTCTTTCTGGCTGTGAGGCTCATTACCCTGCAATGTTTAGAAGCACTCTGGTGATTTTTAATAACCCACAATGAGTCTTGGCAACCAT